ACTGATCTGTCTCTGGTATATATATCGTTGAACAGTTCAAAAGTTATGGTCGGTATTTTTCTCTTTTTGAGATTCTTGAAGGCTTGGAAGTCGGATTTCTACTATCTTATTTGGTAATACTTAAAAGAAAATTGATAATGGTCTATAAAAATCATTTTTCTTAAGTACATAAAATTTCCTACTGTCTATTTAAATGTCAGGCCAAATCCGAAGAAAGATCATGTGCACATTACTAGGGGATAAAAATGACGTCACTAAATGTCCCAAAAAAAATCACGGAGTGGGAAGAAGGTGACCATCATTATCTTTTCTATGTAAATTAGGGGTCAGTGGTTCTAGGTTCCGTACAAATTTCAACCTGGAACCCACCCATGGAACATGGTCATCATTTTTTTGGAACCTGGAACCTATCTTATATATTTTGGAACTTGAACAAATCCTGTCACAGGATCTAGGGTCGGTTTCAGGGTCTACACAGGTTCCATATGTATTATCACTACTTTTAATGATCACCATTTGTTAAGATTTACTGATCATAAATTATATTTATATACACAAAAAATATGAAACATTAACAAGTCATAAAATGAAAGTTATGCCATGAACGACGCAAGATCACGTGAAGACATAGATCAAGAAAAAACATAAAAAATTTCTTTAGGATTTCAGGTTCTACCTATTTGGAATTTCCTAGTCGAAACCTGTATACCTTGAAACCTGTAATTGGAACCTTGCTCACTCCTAAACCTTTAATTGGAACTTTGTTCACCCCTAATGTAAACTATTCTGTGTGGCGGATGATGTGGCAAACGGTGCTTAAGTGGTGCACTGACATGGCGTTTTAATTAATTCTAAAATTTTGAAAAATTAACGAATTAAGAACTAAACGATGTTGGCCAAAAAAATATTGGAAAGTAAAACGGAGTTCCAAGGGATGAAAAAACTGAAAAATGCCAATGTAAATACTGAAACAGGTTGAATAACAGAATAGAGTCGTCTTCCTCAGATCATCGCCTGAGATCGTCCCTTGAAGAGTTGTTCATGAGCGTGACCATCGTGACTACTGCAATGAGCCCAGCGATGGTTGCCGCCTCGAATCTGGTCCGGATCGAGGTTGGACGACCCCAACCACTGGACCAGATCGGGTCCCATGGCTGCGGCCATGGATGCCTGCGACCTCTTCGTACAGAGCTTGAATGGATGTGAGCTTTGTCCCAGAGGGCTTTGCAGCCACCACGAGATTATTGGCGAGGATTCATTGCATTCATGAACGTCGCCGATGGTGTTCCGTGTTTTGTTTCACAAAACACAAAGCTCGTCCAGAAACATAATCCTTTTTGAAGCCTAGAAAACAAGAGAAAATTGCAAAGTGGCTATCACGAACAATGCCCTGTAAAGTAGCACAAAAGGAAAATGCCATTGAAGCCTCTGTACTCTTGTTTGAAATTCAGGGTGCATTTGTTTTATAAAAAATTCAAGATTTGAAAAATATTTTTTGAAAAATGATTGGTTATGTCTTTTAGAAAAGTTAATTAATGGAAAATATTTTCGTGATTGACAAAAATTTATGCCTAACTATTTTAGTGGGTGATGGAAATGTTTTCATTTATTCGTTCATTTTTTTAAGGGATAGAAGAGATTATTTCTTGGAATATGTATTCACAATTTTGAGTTTTTCGTGCAACAAATGGACCCTTCTTTGCTCTCCGAGCTTGCGACTACCACTTCAAGAGGAAACTCGCCATGTTGAGACAAGGGAAGGACCGCCGTTTTCTTGTTTCTTCATCATGATGAATCGTTTAATAGTCAGGAAGAAGTGTTTCCGTTTGGCTCATACATAACAATGTTCCTTTCAATAGAAAATTCATAATACCATTCATGAAAATTTTAAATAATGAAGGTAAATTCGCGCTTCCTACTGGTAATGTATATTGACAATATTTTGGAACAATATTTATCACTTATAACCGTAAATATTCTAGTTATATATTTACTACTCAAAACTAAATCACGGCATGATAAATGGTGTTCTATTATTGGGTTTGTGGATAGTAAGATTGTTATTTCATTGATAACTTACAAACAATTATGCACCCACTTGTAAAATAACAAATTAAGCGTTAGTCTACTATCAGATTTGTGGCTGATAAAGTTTTTATTTCTTTAGCAACATTTACTTACGTGTCCATTTGTGAAATCTAAAAATAAGGGGAAATATACCGATTGAGTTTGTCAATAGTAAAAATGTTATTTTATTGCTAATTACAAACGGCTGATCGGATTAACAAGCTATTGATCACTATTAACTTATTATTGGTATTTCGAATTTATTATCGACATTACGTAATAACCGTCCATAGAAGAAATTCTGTTTTATTCGTAAATGAAATTTTTATATATGACAATTTTGCATTCTCTAGTCAAGTCAACTGAAAACTATTGCATGTACTTTGGTCGTTATGCCTGATTGCAGTAAGTTGCCGAGTTCAATGTTTTTCCTCTCCATAATTGTCTATTGTAGGAAAGTTCTTCAAGTTTGAATAAAATGAAGATTCTTCAACCGTGAACCCACCACCAAACTGGACCATACTGGACCAAAGGTCTTCCCAGCTTTTCTAAGAAGGTGCATGGAAATTTTGGGTATGAAAATTTCAATCCCAAAAGGTTTTCGAATTCCTGCTCAGTTCAAGGGCTTGAAGTTGGACCTGGTTCACTTCATCATTGGTCTGACTAGCGTGTACTGCCGATTTCAAGTCAACAGTCATTTTGTATGAAAAATTAGGTCTGCTAATTTCGATTGGCTGCAATAATATTCTTAAGTTATCTGAAAATGTCAAATCCTGGCTTTAATATGATGCTTTTCGTTTGTCATGGACTAGTTCCATGTGGTAGCACATGATCTAACTGCAATGAAGATGTAAGTTTTAACAATTCAAAACCAATTACGAGCAGCGGCCGAAGCGATATCCAGAAATGAAACAGGGCATGCCACAAATTTCATTAGTTTGATAAGATTCCTCTGATTATGTTTCTGAAGGTTGGTTAGTTCTTGGGATGATAATATGCGTAAGCGGCAAAGAAGGCCTTAATGATGGTAAAAACAAAGAGAATGAAAGCAGCAGTAGCCGGACCAAGGGTTGCCAAAGTACTCGCGCTCGATCCCCGTCCATTTCACGTGCCATTTGTTCCGGTGGTATCTGGCCACTTGCCCGAATTACTCTATCAAGTAGCTCGAGCCAATATCGAACCTGACATCTTTAGGGAGATCATTGAAGAATCTCGCAACCTCATGAGGTTCGCGTTAGTGGACACGAGCTTGGAACAGTAATAGTAGCAGTGTGCTGCTGCTCGAAATCCCAACAAATTGCTTATATATTTCAAAGGCGGCTCAGGAGTTTAACTCTGAATTATGAGACAGGAAATCAGAGAAACTGTTATTCAATAAATGGGAGCGAAATGTGTATCTGTTTCTCTAGAAGGGAACTTGTACAGTAGAAAGCAGGGAATGGTACACAAGGGGACGAGATGCTCTTTGTTTTTTCTGTCTTGGCTTTTCTTCATCAACAGTCGAGAGCCACCGAAGGCCAACACTGGTTCAGCCAAGTGAATTGATGAACTTGCATTCGCAAGTCAAGTCAACTTTGGATTGTCGCGCATGGGGACCAAAAAATTTATGATACCCTGTGATAAGATTTAGACCAAACACAGCTCCGTTGAAATTCTTGCACAAGGCAGTCCTGGTTCATCTGCCTTCTAATAAGAACACAAATCCTCCCTTATGTATTTGCTCACAAACTCTGCAATATAGTATCGAAGTTGCATTCAAATATAAGTAAATCATTTAATTTCTGTTCTTGAATCTACTTATTTAATGGACAAAATAGGACATCATAGATGCATTTTGGTGGTAAGGTCAAAAGTTGGGCCATCTATACTATTTACTTTTAATCGATCTCTACATCCTTAATGTGATGTATAAAGAGAAAACTGATTCACATAATAATTATAACCAACTATGATCTCAAAACCATAAACTTGTTTTTGTATAATGAATCTCCCCACTATTGTGTGAGTGACCCAAAAGTACCCAATTATCAACGTCCTGTATACACTAAAAACCCTAAACTTTGTCTAGTGTGACACTAATGCTTTATCAAACTCTTTTTTTTTTTTTTGTGTTAACAATACTCCAAACTCGCACCAGTCCAATTGTCAATGGCCTTATCCATATCCCTTGTCTAGTGTAAGGTCTGGCTTACACGGTGCTTTGTTAAACAGAGACTTTGCAAGAAAGTTACACCACTCATATGCAAGTTGGATGCTCCAATTTGAGGAGTTTTTAAATATATTTATGGATATTATAGAATTCCCTATTATAGTATGGATACACCTTGATTGTGACTCATTATAAAGTTGAAATATTGAGCTAAAATATAAGTCGTACTTTTTCCACTTCTAGTTTGGTTAAAACACTCCCTAATAAAGTGTTATGACCATTTCACCCATTGTAGGTCCCACGTTTCAGCATCTTAATTGTTCTCTTGGTATCTCTTTTTTGGTTTTCTTCTTTTGCGGGTCTCATTTTCCTTTGTCTTCGTCCTTTTCTTTTTCTCTCGGCAATTATCTTTCTCTCTCTTGCGGCTCCCACTTCCGCACTTTTTGTATAAAAATAATTGGAAATAAAAAAAAACACGGAAATGAAACTGCGTAAATATACTAGCAATTCATTTTTTTAGATAAGCAAAGTGGAATCCGCAAAAGAAGAAAACGTAAAAAAGACACTAAGAGAAAATGATGCTGAAAGGTGAGATCCGCAATAGGTAAAATGGTCAAACACTTTGTTTGGGAGTGTTTTAGCCAAATTAAGAGTGGAAAAAGCGCAGTCCTAAAATATATCCTTGAGTATTTTCTCTCTCCATTTCAAGAATATTTATAGGTTTCAATTTCTTGAACTCAGAACATCCGATTGTCTCTACTACACGAGTATTTCCTAGTCTGCTTGAAAAATAATGAGGATTTTGCTCTTCCTATGGCTGGTCTTAATACTCGCGCATACCAACCCTTTCAGCATAGGCACGGTTTTGGTCTCGGGCCAGTGTCTCAGCGATCAGAAATCGCTGCTGTTGGAATTCAAGAATAGCCTCGACTTCAATGCTTCTTTGTCCACGAAATTGATCAAATGGAATCAGAGCACTGATTCTTGGGATGGCGTGACCTGCGAAGGTGGCCAAGTCACGGGTCTTGATCTGAGCAAGGGGGGGATCACTAGTGGACTAAGCAATTCGTCGAGTCTTTTCAGACTCAATTATCTTCGGATGCTGAATTTGGCTTTCAACAACTTACAGTCTTTGGAGATTCCATCTGGGTTGGGTAATCTCACCAATTTGGTCCACCTGAATCTTTCAAATGCCGGGTTTGCGGGACAAGTTCCAATTGGAATGTCACATTTGACCAGGTTGGTTACTCTTGATGTATCCATGCTTTATTTTCCTGGGCTCACTTCACTGAAACTCGAGAATCCGAATCTAAAGATGCTTGTTGGGAATCTTAGCGAGCTGAGAGAGTTGTACCTTGACGGAGTGAACGTGTCTGCTACAGGCAATGAATTGTGCAGTGCCTTGTCTTCTTCGATGCCTAAGCTTCAAGTGCTGAGCATGACGAATTGTTATTTATCAGGTTCCATTGGGGCTTGCTCTTCCCTCCTGAATCTTCATTTTCTGTCAGTGATTAAACTGGGCTTCAATAATCTGTCTACTACCGTCCCAGAGTTCTTTGCCCACTTCCAGAATTTAACTACTCTGGATCTCAGTCATTGTGGCCTGCAGGGAGAATTTCCTCAAAAAATCTTCCAGGTACAAACACTTCAGACCCTTGACCTATCATTCAACCAACTTCTTCGGGGTTCTTTGCCAGAATTTCCGGAGAATGGTTCTCTTCAGAGGCTGGTTCTTAGTTTCACAAATATTTCCGAGAGGCTGCCAGATTCAATTGTTAATCTCAGAAATCTGTCAAGAATAGAATTGGTGAATTGCAGCTTTGATGGAAATATCCCAAGCTCTTTCGCGAATCTTTCTCAACTGGCTTATTTGGACTTCTCATTCAACAATTTTACTGATTCAATTCCATCACTCAGCAAGTCCAAGAATCTGACACAAATCACTTTGTCCCATAATAAGCTAACTGGTCAGATTAATTTAACCCAGTGGGAATCCCTCTTGAGTCTTCTTATTCTCGATCTGCGATTCAATTTACTTGAAGGAAATGTTCCTTCATCTCTCTTCACACTTCCATCAATTCAGAAGCTTCAACTTTCCAACAACCAATTTTCTAGTCAAGTGAAGGGATCTTTTAATGCTACATTGCACATGCTGAATACACTTGATTTGAGCAACAACAACATAGGAGGAGAACTGCCAATGTATATATGGAAACTCCAAGGGCTCAAGTACCTCTCACTTTCTTCCAATAATTTCAGTGGGTCGTTCCATATTAATTTGGTTCACCAGTTGAGAAACCTTTCTTATTTGGATCTTTCTTACAATCGTTTTTCCATCAACACCACAAATACTGCTTCCCAGGCGTCTTCATTCTCTGACCTTACCACTATGAAGTTGGCTTCTTGCCAGTTGAGGACTTTACCTGAGTTCCTGGCTGAGCAACACAGATTGGTATATCTAGACCTCTCTGACAATCAGATTCAGGGAAAGATACCAAAATGGATATGGGAGCTTCAGAATCTTCTGTATCTCAATCTTTCGGCTAATTTACTAGACGATATTGAAACACCATTACCTAGTCTCACATTTGCTCTGTCAGTTCTTGACCTTCATAAGAACAGGCTCCGTGGACAAACGTTACCACTGCCGCCGCTTGCCACATATATGGACTTCTCGAGCAACAACTTCACTTTAGACATTCCACCTACTATTGGCACGACCCTTTCTGTGGCAATATTCTTCTCCATGTCCAATAACAATATCCAGGGGACTATGCCAGAATCGATTTGCAAAGCTGAATATCTCGAGGTGCTTGACCTATCTCATAATAATTTGAGGCGAAATATTCCTGATTGCTTAGTGATGGAGTCTCTCAAGGTATTAAATCTGCGAAATAATGCCTTGGATGGTAGCATTTTCAATTTCCCCGAAACATGTGCTTTGAAGACTTTGGATCTCAGTAATAATGTATTACAAGGGAAGTTCCCAAAGTCATTGGCAAATTGCAGAGCTCTGGAGGTTTTAGACGTGGGAAACAACCAGATTGATGACGTGTTTCCAAGTCGATTGGAGAGCATTGCAAGTCTACGTGTCCTTGTGTTACGATCCAACAAGTTCCATGGAGGGGTTGGATGTCCGAAGTGTAAGGGCACTTGGAAGATGCTTCAAATTGCGGACATCTCTTCCAACAATTTCAGCGGCATTCTGCTTGCTCAATGCCTAACAACTTGGGAGGCTATGAAGGCTAATGTAGACATCAATCATATCCAGTATCCATTCCTTAGCTTGACTGGACTCTATTATCAGGACACGGTAAGCGTCACCATCAAAGGTCTGCAAGTGGAGATTGAGCTGGTGAAGATCTTGACTCTTTTCACTTCAATCGACTTCTCATGCAACAATTTCGAAGGTCCAATCCCTGATACTCTGGGGGATCTGAAAACGCTTTATTTCCTCAACTTATCAAACAATGCATTCTCAGGGCCAATTCCTCCATCCCTAGGAAACTTGCAACCGCTTGAGTCCTTGGACCTTTCACGGAACGACCTCAATGGGACGTTCCCCAAACAGCTTTTAGACCTTACTAATCTTTCCTTCCTGAACCTCTCATACAATAAGCTAGTGGGAAGCATCCCAGCAGTCAACCAATTTGCCACCTTTGAAGCAAGTTCTTTCGAAGGCAATGCCGGATTGTGTGGACCACCACTGGAAACAAGTTGCTTTCCGCTCGAGAAAACTTGCTCAATTGCCACGAACGGGAAGGAAGAAGAGGGTTGTGTTCCTACGGAAAGCTACACAAATGACGACGGCAACAATGATGATAGCGAGAAGATGTGGTTTTACATGGGCATACCGTATGGATTCGTGGTTGGCTTCTGGGTATTTTTTGGTCCGTTAGCGTTTATCAGATCATGGAGGTTTGCTTACTATCGATTCTGGGATAAAATGCTGTTAAGACACTCGCGTCGATGAAGATTTCTGCTGAGGTTCAGTTATTCAACTTGAAAAATAGTATTTTCCTTTGTTCTTCACTTCACAATTCTCCACCACCTTTAAAAAGACATTCCGTTTGTCGATCCGCGTCAACGGTATTTAAACTTCTGTTGCTTGTGCAGTTGGATCCTTCAATTTTTTTTTTTTTGGGATCAACTCCTTTAACTCTACCCAATTCTCAATCAAGTTTTTAAATAATTCTTAGTATGTTAGATGTGGTATGCTAAGATGGTATTTCTCTTGTTATAAAAAAAAAAGAGTAAAAGTCAATGATGTTAACATCAAAGGAAATTAATTATGTTCTACAAAAAAAAGGAAAGTAAAATGTAGAAGACGAGGGTGGAATCGCGAGAGACAACAAAAGGGGTGGAGGACTTGGTGGCGGCAGCCCCCACCAACGATGATTGGTGATGGTTGGAAAATAAGGAAAAGTGTCAAAAAAATCTTAAATTGTTTGCATTGGTGCCGATTGAGTCATAAACTTTTTTTTTTATGCCAATTGAGTTCTAAACCTTTTGTCTTTGTGCCAATTCAGTCCTTCCGGCTAATTTTGGTCAGATTTTTCTGATGTGAACATTGGCCGACCAATGACCGTCAAAAGAAACTAATTTTCTTCAATAAGAAAAAAGGAAAGTAAAATGTAAAAGACAAGTGTGGGAGAGCAAGAGAGACGCCAGAATGGTGGAGGACTTGGTGGCGGCAGCCACCACCACCGATGATTGGTGATGTTTGGAAAATGTGAAGAACTTTATCACAAGGTTGGCCCTTGAAGAAGCGATCGTGGTGAACTACAGCTAACCTTCCAGCAGTAATTGCTTGTCGTCTCGAGGACTGAATCGCACGAACATTTTAAAGGTAGGATAAGAGATGGATCTAACTAGACTGAGACCCACGAGGCTCAAGATGGAAACAATTAAGCGCTTTACCAGCATTTTCTCAAATGCCTCTTCCAAATCAGGTTTTAATTGCTTCTTGAATCAAGCTTCGACAAATTCCAACTAGGAGAGAGAAATTAATTTAAAAATGTCACATCAGCATTTTCTGTTAGATAAATTGACGGTGTTAATTTTAGGACTCGATTGCATAAATTTGATAAGTTTTAGGACTTGATTGCACTTTTTAAAAGTTTTATTGTCCTTTCGCGATAAGTTTTACAATTTCGAGTGCACTCATCCTTGAGGAGTAGTATACAACTGGGTTTGTAGATGGTGAAATTTTTAGTCCACTGGGCCCACTTGTATATGTGATAATCTACTATTGGGTTTTGAGAGTGGTAAAATTTTTATTTCATTGCTTGCTATTTCATTGGTAGCTTACAAGCACTTATGCGTCCATTTGTAAAATAAAAAACCAAGTGGTAATTTATTATTAGATTTTGTGAGTGGTAAAGTTGTTATTTCATTGATAACTTACAAATACTTATGCGCCTGCTTGTAAAATATAAAGTGGTAATCTACTATTTGGTTTGTTGATGGTAAAATTGTTATTTTGTTAACGATTTATAAATAGTTAATTAGATTAACAAATTACCTATCAGTATCATTGATATTTTAAATTTGCTACTGACGTCATGTATTTTAGGAGTGTCGGAACCAAACCGAAAAACCAAATCGAGATACAAACCGAACTGAACCGAAAATTTTGTACATTTCGGTTCGGTTTGGTTTTCGGTTCGAATTATCTAAATTAACCAACTTTTTTTTTTTCAATTCGGTTTATTTCGGTTCGGTTCTATTTCGGTTCGGATCGAACCGAATTGAAAATAAACCCTTCGTTGTCTTCAGTTTTTATCATAACTAAAAGGCTTTTAGGGCTCCTGCGTCTGCTTTGTCTCCTCTGATCGAGGGACGTAATTTGTGCCCCCACCACCCGCGATGACGGAACTGAAGCCGTCGCTCCAAGAATTGAAGTTGACGATCCTGGCCAGGGGCTGGTCTTTGCTTGTCCTTCCATCGAGAGCAGAGACCGTCGCTCGCTCGAGGAAGCTCAAGGTCTCTGCTTGCCCTTCCATCAAGAGCAGAGACCGTCGCGTGGATGGCAATCCTGGCCAAGGGCTGGTCTCCGTGCGACCTCACTCGCGGCCAACGCCAAGACGGCGAGCAGAACCCATCCCGCAACTCTCGTAACTCTCCCCATCCGCGCTCGACAACACCTAGTTCGACAAGACAAACAGAGAGCGCCGCTGAAAAAAGTCAACTTCCACGCCAAAAAAGGAGAGAGAGAGTACCGGTTGATGATGTGTGGCGCTGGTTAAGGTTCGTGGGTTGAAGTTTCAAATCAATTTCCGGACACCCTTCTACGTGTACGGTCTTCTTCCTTCGCTCTCATCCTCCATTGTGCTTGCTCTGTGCGATTGGGTGGGTTCTTGTCATTTCGTGCTCAAGCAGATTGGGCTAACAAAGTTGGTCTTGCAAAGTTGTTTTCTGTGTATGAGTTCTTTTCTGGGTAGAGCAGGTGATAGAGAAGATAATTTTGGTTTTGATGATGGGTTCCTTTCCATGTTCACTGACAAAGAATGATCTGAAATCGAAAATTGAACTGAACCAAATCGATCCAAATCGAATCAAATTGATTTTTTCGGTTCGGTTCATATTCGGTTCGAGTGAGATTCAGTTCGGTTCAATGGTGCACTCATAACGGATCGATTTGGTTCGATTTTTGAAGAAAACCGAATCATTTACACCCCTAATGTATTTACCGCGGACGGAATAAATTCCGTTTTTGTCGTAACCGGAACTTTAGAAATCAGCCCATCGGGGAGCCACCACAGAAACGACAACTTTGTGTTCTCCAGTCAAGTCAAGTTTGCAGCGAAGGTGGTGTTAATGAGAGTAAAAGGACACTGGCTGAAAGCAGCAGTAGCTGTGTCATGAAGGACCAAGGGCAGCCAAAGAACTCGTGCTTGATCCCCGTCCATCTCGCGCGCCAATTGCTCCGACGGTATCTGGCTACTCGTCCGAATTACACGATCAAGTAGCTCAAGTCGATATCCGAACGCGACATCCTTACCAAGATCATTCAAGAATTTGCATCGACAGTGAAGAACCACTGAAGGCCACCGTTGGCTCTAGGGGTGAGCGGTTCCAGGTTCCGGGTAGGTTCCGCCTGGAACCCGAAACCTACCCGTCGGAACGTGGAACCTGGAACCTACCCTGTCACAGGTTTCAGGGTCGGTTCCAGGTTCCAACAGGTTCTTTTTATTTTATTTTATTTTTAGTTAATCAAAACGAAAATGAACATTCATAAAAAAGAATACAAAAGACAAATTATAGAAAAGTCACATTTTTCCAATGGTTCGGTGATCAAACATACAATCAACAAAATCACGGATCTGTGACATGCACATTAGAGCATTTCCGGCACGCACTTCTCCACTGCAGTTAGCATAAGGCAAAGACATAAACCAAATGAGCTGAGTATCAGAAAAATCATCCCCAAGAAAATGCAACAGCCAAAAGTTTGATTGAAAATTAGAAAATTCAAGCGCTTGTTAAAGTTACCAATTGGAAAATAAGAGAAAGGTGACCAAGATAAAGACGATCTCGACTGCAAATTTTTCACACCCCCATAAATACAATCACCAAAACCGGGAAACTTTTTCACGTTGAGGGTGCTGCTGCCAAAGGGGAAACAGCAATAAGGATGATTGAAAGTACCATTATCAGGGAATGTGCCCGTGTGCCACACAGAAGCAGGTGTGTTTCATGAATCATTTAAATATTTGGCTGGCCTATGATGTAGACTCTTATGATTGTATACTAAGACCACAACAGTAATCATTTCTACGTAACAATAGAGAATACAAAAGCTTAGAATCTTCCAACCAACCTCATCCTGGCCTGCTCCATTGAAAGAAGCCCCATCACAGTACCGTATCCTTACTCTATTCCAATTGAAAAAATCTGCCAGCAAAGCATAATCGCTCGTATGACAGTTCCAATTTGAATAAACTATGGCAAAGAATCGTTTCGAGACAGATTGAATCGTTAATAGATTTTAAATACCAAGGATTTCTTCAGCTTTATTACTCAATATTCCTGTGAAAGCTACTTCCTTGTCCATAAACTTCGATGAACCACGACGAGTAGTTTTCCCAATAACAAACTCACAAGTGATACTTAAGTTTCCAAAGAACACAGAATCGACCAACCCAGGAACAACACAGAGCAAAACCAAGTCTCATATCTTCAACAAAAGACAGAAAAACCTCGCGAGCGATGTAGGTTCCGGCACATTCGGCCACTTCAAATCAAGCCACGCCACCCGGCCGCAAGAATCAGAAACCCTAAATTTTGAATCATCCAATGGCGGTGCTCCGTCTCTGCTACAGAAAACATCAAATTAAAGTTACTCGCCCGTGCCAAGAAGCACCCATTGCCACACACACACACACCACTCAGAAAGCTACTCACTTCAAAACCTTCTAATCAAAGTCCAGCACAAGAGATCGGAAAGCCCGGGAAAATTCCAAGCAAGAAACAGAGCAGAAAGCCCCCAACGAACGAAAGAACCCACCCAATCGCACAGAGCGAGCACAATGGAGGACGCGAGCGAGGGAGGAAGAGCGCACGCGCAAAAGGGTGTCCGCAGATTGATTCGAAACTCCGACCCGCGAAGCCGGCGGGGGATTTCAAGAGGGTCGGCGGTGCCCGACGGGAGCAATGGCGGAGCCGAATCTTGGGCACGCGCGCGCGCAGAGCTTCGGACACCCAGCTGGCCGATGGAGGCGGAAGTGGAAGCAGGAGCGACCAAGCGAGGAGCAAGCAAGAAGCGAAAGCGGGAGCGAGGCGGAAGTGGAAGCAGGAGGGACAAGATGGAGGGACAAGGTGAATTAGGGTTTCTAAATACCAAATGTGTAGTTTATGTTTTAATTTTTAGGGATCCGGTTCCTGATCCCGGTTCTTGGTTCTAGTTCCGGTTCCCGGTTTCGATCCGGTTCCGGTTCCAGGTTCTGATTCCGGTTCCTATAGGAACCAGGAACCGGAACCGGAACAGCCGGGTCCTAAAAATGGGGAACCGAGAACCGGACCCTCTTTCCATGGAACCTGGAACCGAACCGGACCCACCGGGTCCGGTTCTCCGGTTCCCGGTTCTACCCTGGAACCGCGCTCACCCCTAGTTGGCTCAACCTCGTGTGATTTGATGGATTTGCATTCCCAAGTCAAGTCATCGCTCTTGGGGACCATAAAATTTATTAGGCGACGTGATATGAACGAGACCAAACACCGCTTCATTGAAGTCACGTACAAGGAAGTTCATGTTCATATGCCTACCAATAAAAACACAACTCTTTGGATGTGTTCCCTCACAAACTCTATTGAAGTTGCATTCAAACGTAAGCAAATTAATTTATTTCTTTTCTTGAATTTACTTATTTAATGAGAAAAAAAGATATGATAGATCCATTTCTCGGAATTTAAAGAGGAAATTATTTTCCTGAATTTAAGTTTTAGGCTCTGTTTCTTTTGCGAAAAATATTTTTCTCATTTTTCGGCATTTGGATCGCTTAGGAAAATATTTTCTTACTAATAAATTCAAGAAAATGATATCTTCTTTAAAAAATTAATAATCATTTTCCAAAATATAACTAGATATTGGTGCTTGTACAAAAAACTCTGCGCCTGAGCATGGGAACCCCAACGCTCGTTCTCAGGCCCTTGGTAGCAAGGTCAGGTCCTTGATGCTTGAGCTTGCGTCCATTGAGACCGAGCCTGGGATTCCAACGCCCAGGCTCGGATCCATCTAGGTCGCGTCCGAGACCCTGGCTATCGCGCTTGGGTCCATCAAGGCTAGGCTCAAGACGCCAGGCCAGTAATATCAAGGCTGATTCTAGGTCATCGATGCTCGTGCCTTGGTCCATCAAGGCCAAAATATGTTAAAAAATTTCGAATTTTAAAATATTTTCATGTTATATATATTTTTTCTTTCTTTTTTTTTCCTTCTTCCTCCGCCGGTCGTCAGACCTCAGCAATGGCCAACTACTGGCCACAGTGACCATAGGCGTGGGTCGGCCTTGAGCGAGGCTCAACCTTGCCGGATATGGCGAGGTTGAGCTCGCCCGAGGTTGGTGAGGTTGGCCCTTGCCTGTGGCCTATCACCGAGGCCCGGCAACCGAGGGAGGAAAAAGGAAAAAGAAAAAGAAAAGAAAGAAAAGAAAAAATTAAATTAAAAAATTCAAATTCTTTTAGAAAAATTACAAAAATTGTCCATGTCAGCGCGGCCGTGCCACGTAGTCAGCAATTTTTGATCAAATGAGATTTTCCTTACCAAACGACGAAAAATATTTTCCAAGTTGATTTTCATGTCTCGGCCAAAAACTGAAAAATATTGTCATTTTCCTAGAAAATGACTTCCTAAAAAATATTTTACAAAAATGTCCTATTTTTCGCGAAACAAACGGAGCCCTAGCTCCTAACTTATGTTGCTTGTGCGATTGGATTCTTCAAAAACAAATTTTTTTGGGTATCAGTTTCTGTAACTCTATCTTATTCTCAATAAAGTCCTCCTTAAATAATTCTTAATATGTTGATGTGATATGCTAAGATAATACTTTTTTTGTTATTTATAAAGGTGAAAGTCAATAGTGTTCACTTTTGCCAATTGTGTACTAAACATTTCAATTTTATCAATTGAGTCCTAAACCTTTTCACTTTTTGCCAATTAAGTTCATCCGGCCAATTTTGACCATAAATTACTAACGTGGATGCCGGTCATGCCATGTAGAATGACCGGCTCTGACTTAGATAATTTTTAATAATATTTTAATATTTTTTGAATTTATTTATTATTAGTATTTTCTTTTTTTTCTTTTTCTTTTCTTTCTTTTTTTTTCTTCCTTCTTCCTCCTCTAACCAGTCGACGGGGCGTTGGCAATGGTTGACAACCGATCAAACGAGCCCGGCCAGACGAGCCTCGACCTCGCCAGGGGCGGGTGAGGCTTGCCCTCGTGAGTGGCTAGCGAGCGAGCTTTGCCAGAGGCCGACAATTGGCTAGAAGAGGAAGAATGTAGGAAAAAAAATTGAAAAAAACATTAAAATATTATTAAACAATATTCATGTCAGTGACGATCGCATCATTTAGGATGCCCAACTTCCACGTTAGCGATTTAGGACTAAAATTGGCCGGATAGACTCAATTGGAAAAATGTGAAAATGTTTAGAACTTAATTAGCAAAATTGAAAGGTTTAGGACTAAATTGGCAAAAGTGCAATAGGTTTAGGATTTTTTGGATAATTTTTTCATGGACATTCATTCAATTGAGGGCAATCTAGCACATAGTCGTGACTTTGTGCAAAAATGACACTACTTGGTGGGGACAACAAAAGAAAACTATGACATGGTAAATTACTTCAGATCTACCACCACGGAAGTCAGCCTAGCAGTTACATTCCCTTTATACACCCCAATACAAGTACAACATAAGTGATCGAAAGGTAATTTATTTTAATAGAGATCGGGTGATATTTTCAGCTACCTTTAATACATCCACTGAACTCATCTTTGATCCAATAAAAAAATAGGTCCATTCACATGAAAACCGAATCTATTTCCCATTCAATCTTGGCTCTAGTGGCTGCGACGGTTGTGGACCAAGCATAACTCACGCTTGTTGATGCGCAAATCTCAATTGTTCAAACACCAAACTTTGGATTTGGGCACCATTTAACCATCTCTCTTTCCATCATTGACCAGCTAAGCTTTCAATTCCCAAAGCTGGTCCTATCCCATCGCATTGAAGTTTGATTATATTCCCCACACAAGAGTCCCACAAAGAAAGTAGCATCATCAGTCCCACGATAACGTAGACATCGGACAAAATTGTCCCCACCAGGTGTTTACTTTGACTACTCTCTGATCCAATATGAACCATCCCCTGTTTATCTCCTCCTACCCGCAATTCTCTGTTCTTGAATTGCCCATTTCGCACGAAATTTTTCCAGATCCCTCGCTCACGGATAATCATGTTTATGGGCTTTGTTCTAAGTATATTTATTGATATTTGAGGAATTATCAAAAAATATTATTGGAGATATTATTAGATTTTAGGGTTATTATTTGACATTTCGTTAGTTCCTAATACAACTAGTTTCCTTGCTAGATTAAGATAACTAATTGTCTTGTTAGATTAGAGCACTTTCTTCCATGCACATATTGCTCGAGCATGAATCGCCCTTAATTGAAGCTTACCAGAGAAATCAACAAAGAACGAGAACAAAAGGTTTACATGGTTCAATTGAATGCCGGTACAGACGTTACGTGTTTGACGCGCACAGAAAAAATTCCGTTTTTGTCGTAGATAGAATTTTAGAAATCAGCCCATCGGAAAGCACCACTGAAACGACAATTTTGCATTCTCTAGTCAAGGTGAACAAACGCGTTAACGAGGAAAAAGACAGATAGTGCAAGCAGCAGTTGCTGTAAGGAAGGACCAAGAGCTACCAAAGTCCTTGCACTTGATCCCTGTCAACCTCACGCGCCATTTTTCTGGTGGTATCTTGCCACTCGCCCGAATTACTCGGTCAAGTAACTCGAGCCAATATCAAACATGACATCCTTAGCAAGATCATTCAAGAATTTGCATCCACAGTCGTAGAACCACTGAAACCCACCACAAGTCAAGTCAACTTAAGGTAGTCGCGCAGAGGGACCAAAACACACAACTCCTGTTCAAGGAAGCTCATGTTCGTCTGCCTTCAAATAAGAACACAACTCCTCCTTCTATGTGTTCACTCACAAATTCTGTAATGAAGTTGCATTCGAACGTCAATAAATCATTTTATTTCTTTTCTTGAATCTACTTATTTAATATTAAAAAAAAGGATATGATAGATGCATTTTGATGTTATCGCGAAAAGCTAGGTATCTATTTACGTTTAACAAATTTTTACATCGTTAATGTATGCGCAAAGAAAAAATTGATTCGTCATATGTCATTTATTTTATGATGTAAAATAAGATGAGCAAACAGCATTTTCAAAAGAGATGTCAAGTTCTAATCTTCACATTTTAGGCGGACTTGTTTATTTTTTCGTTTTTTCTTAGAAAATAAAGATATGGGTTTTTTTTTCAATATAAATAAAGGATGTAATTTTGTTGCAAAGGAATGCGGGATTTTTGCTAGTAATTTCGAAAGTGAGATGAGTCCAAATTTAGTGACCAATCACATCCCGAAAATCGACACCAGCTGGCACTGACTTCGGACGACGACTCCATAATAAGGCTGCGCATGACAACTTGCCAAACAGTGTTTGATTCTGTTCTTTTGTTCCCAGAATCAGTTTGGAAACAGAAATGCGTTTGTTTAATTTTTTGATTCTGGGCACAATTTTGTCAAAAATTGTTCCCAGAATCAGCTTTGGAGCAGAATCAAGAATAAAAAAAAAGTAGCTTCTTGATTCTGGGAACAATTTTGAGAATCAATTTTTTTTCTTCTTCCTTTTCTTGGTTTTTAATTTAGCTTCTAATGTCCGGCCCGAGGACCGCCCTCGCCGGATCTGACGAGAATAAAATATTTTAATACAAAATATTATTAATAAAAAATATTTTACCGGCCATGGCCAGCGACCAGGCCATGGCCATAAAAAAGAAAAAATATATATTTTTAATAAAAATATTTTAATAAAAAATTATTTATAAAAAAATTATTTTTAGGCCATGGCCAGCGACCAGACCATGGCAAAAAAAAAATAAAAATGTATATTTTTAATAAAAAAAATTATTAATAAAAAAAATATTTTACAGGCCATGGCCGGCGATCAGGCCATGGCCAAAAAAATAAAAAAATATATTTTTAATAAAAATATTTTAATAAAAAATATATTTTTCCATCCATGGCCGGCGAACACGCCATGGCAAAAAAAAATAAAAATATATATTTTTAATAAAAATATTTTAATAAAAAATATTATTAATAAAAAAAATATTTTACCGGCCATGGCCGGCGACCAGGCCATGGCCCAAAAAAATAAAAATGTATATTTTTAATAAAAAAAATATTTTACCGACCACCTGGCCATGGCCCAAAAAAATAAAAATGTATATTTTTAATAAAAATATTTTAATAAAAAATATTATTAATAAAAAAATATTTTAATAAAAAATATTATTAATAAAAAAATATTTTACCGGCCATGGCCAAAAAAAATAAAAATATATATTTTTAATAAAAAATATTATTAATAAAAAAATATTTTACTGGTCATGGCTGACGACCAGGCTATGGCAAAAAAAAAGAAAAAATAATTTTAATAAAAATATTATTAATAAAAAAATATTTTACCGGTCATGGCCGGCGAGCAGGCTATGGCCAAGGAGGAAAAGAAAAAAAGAAAAGAAAAAAAAGAAAGAAATATTAAAATATTTAAAAATATTATTAATAAAAAGAAATTTTGTGGCGTTACCAAACGCATTTCTGTTCTTTTTCTATTCCAGGGATAGAATTTTGGCCATTAACAAACACCTTAAAATGCTCAGAATCAATTCCGGGCACAGAATCAAAAAGAATTATTTCTGAGCAAAATCTGTTTCCGGGCACAGAATCGTTGTCATGCGCAGCCTAAGTGTCGACTTTGTTTCGTTCCAGTCCCTCTTCCCCTTGCCATCTTCCAGCGCTCTTCTTCAACCTCTTCCGATGAACACTTCCATCGTCTCATGGCTTGTTCTTGCTATATCCACCATCTCCATCTTCTCCGACGTTGCTGGGGCTTCAGCTCCAGCCCGGTGTCCTGGCATCGACCAAAGATCGCTCTTGCTCGAGCTGAGAGACAGCCTCGTCTTCAACGCCTCCGAGTCCTCCAAGCTAGTACGGTGGGACCGAAGCGCTGATTCATGGAGCGGCGTGACGTGTAAGGACGGGCTCGTCGTGGGACTCAATTTGAGCAGTGAGTCGATCTCTGGTGGAATCAACGGTTCGTCGAGCCTCTTCGGGCTCGAGTTCCTTCAAAGCCCGAACTTGGCGTTCAACGATTTCAACGCTCGCAGATTCCGTCCGGCCTCGCGAATCTCGGCCGCTTGGTACATCTCAACTTGTCCAATGCCAGATTTGACGGGCAGATTCCGGCGGAGCTATCGCGCCTGACAAAGCTACGTACTCTTGATCTCTCTGTTCTTTATTGCTCTGGATTGGATTTGCTGTTCCTTGAGAAGCCCTCTTTGAGGTCGCTGATTGGGGATTTGGGGGAGCTGAGAGAGCTGTACCTTGATGGGGTCAATGTGTCTACCGAGGGAAGTGGGTGGTGCGACGATTTGTCTTCTTCAGTGCCAAAACTTGAGGTGTTGAGCATGTCGGGTTGTTCTCTGTCTGGTCCTATTGACGCTTCTCTTACGAGTCTTGCTAATCTGTCAGTCATTCAACTCGATAGCAACAACTTGTCCGCCACAGTTCCTAGTTTCTTAGCGAATTTCTCTAGCTTGAAAACACTGAGCCTACGTGATTGTGGCCTGCAGGGGGAATTTCCTCCTGAAATCTTCCAGGTACGAACACTTCAGAACCTTGATGTATCACTAAACGAACTTCTTCGGGGTTCTTTGCCAATATTTCCGGAGAATAGTTCTCTTCAGACAATGGTTCTGAGTGACACGAATATTTCCGGGAGGCTCCCAGATTCAATTGGTAATCTCCGAAATCTGTCCAGAATAGAATTGGTGGGTTGCAGCTTTGATGGAAATATCCCAAGCTCTCTCACCAATCTCTTGCGACTGTCTTATTTGGTCTTGTCATTCAACAATTTCACGGGTTCTATTCCATCACTCAGCAAGGCCAAGAAACTGACACTTATCATTTTGTCCGACAACAGTCTAACTGGTCCGATTGATTCAACAGAATGGGAATCCCTCTCGAGTCTTCTTAGTCTCGACCTGACATTCAATTTACTTGAAGGAAATATTCCTTCATCTCTGTTTACACATCCATCGATTCAGGAGCTTCGACTTTCCGACAACCGATTTTCTAGTCAATTGAAGGGATTTTTTAATGCTCCATCGCACATGCTGAAATCACTTGATTTGAGCGACAACAATATAGGAGGAGAACTACCGGCGTCTATATGGGAACTCCGAGGGCTCGAGTACCTCTTTCTTTCTTCCAATAATTTTAGTGGCTCATTCCACATTAATTTGGTTCAGCAGATAAGAAATCTTTCTTATCTGGATCTTTCCTACAATCGTTTTTCCATTGATGCCACAAATACTGCTTCCCAGGCCTCTTCATTCCCTGACCTTCAAGACTTAAATTTGGCTTCCTGCCAGTTGACGACATTGCCTCAGTTTTTGGCTAACCAGTCCAAATTGTTCTTCCTCGACCTCTCCCACAATTATATAAAAGGGAATATACCGAGATGGATATGGACATTAGAAAATCTTATGCTTCTCAATATTTCCTCTAATTTCTTTGAAGATTTGGAAACACCTCTGGGCAATCTTACATTGAGTCTGACTTTCGTTGACCTCCATTCAAACATGCTCCGAGGAAATATGCTACCCCTGCCGTCATCCGCTTACTTCTTGGATTTCTCAAGTAACAACATAACTTATGTTATTCTGGATAACATTGATGACTACCTATCAAACACAATCTTCTTCTCCCTTTCGAAGAATAATTTCCATGGGCCCATCCCGAAGTCAATTTGCAAAGCTGGTATTCTTGAAGTGCTTGACTTATCGCATAACCATCTGAACGGAACTATTCCTGATTGTTTAATGATGGCGTCCCTCACGGTATTGAATTTGAGAAATAACCAGTTGAGTGGCGATATTCCGCAAAACATCTCAGCAACATGCAGTCTGAAGACATTGGATATTAGTGAGAATTTCCTGCAAGGCCAAATTACGTTGTCGATGGCAAATTGCGCGACGTTGGAGATTGTGAACATTGGGGACAATCAAATAGATGGGACATTTCCATGTCATTTCAATGCTATGTCAAGTCTTCGTGTCCTTGTTTTACGATCCAATAAATTGCACGGGGAAATTGGATGTACGCATAGTCCCTGCACCTGGCAGATGCTTCAAATCATTGACCTATCTTTCAACAATTTCAGCGGCACGCTGCCTGTGAGTCTCCTCGCATCTTGGGAGGCTATGAAGGCCAACGTAGACTTCAATCACCTGCAATATGAGATACACGTAAGGGGTGGGATCTATTATGAAGATACAATGAGTGTAACCTTCAAAGGTCTGAAGCTAGAACTGGTCAAGATTCTGACTATTTTCACATCGATCGACTTCTCAGGCAATAGATTGGAGGGTCCAATACCAGACATGCTTGGAGATCTCAAAGCACTTTATTTCCTCAACCTATCACATAATGCCATCTCAGGTTCAATTCCTCCTGTTTTAGGGAATCTGGATCAGCTGGAGTCGCTGGACCTGTCATGGAACTACCTCAATGGAAACATACCGGCTCAACTTGAGAATCTTGATTTCCTTTCGTTCTTGAACCTCTCAAACAATCAACTTGTGGGAAGCATCCCGACAAGGGGACAGTTTCTCACGTTTTCCAAAAGTTCCTTCGAAGGAAACCTTGGATTGTGCGGGCTTCAGCTCAACAAAAGTTGCTCAACTACAACGAATGGGACAGAAGAAGTGGGTAGTGTTTCAACTCAATGCAACACAGATGATGACGGCAACAATGATGATATCAAGAGGAAGTGGTTTTACATGGGCATACCGTTTGGATTCGTGGTTGGCTTCTGGGTATTTTGTGGTCCCATAGTGTTTATAAGATCATGGAGGTTTGCTTATTATCGATTATGGGATAAAGTGTTGTTCGGACACTCACGTTCATGAAGATTTCCACTGAGATTCAGTTACTAAACTTGAAAAAGAGTATTTTCGTTCTCTCTTATCTTCATAATTCTTCATCATCATCTAAAAGATGGTTCTATTTACTGATCAATAGAACTCTTGCTTACCCATTGGGAAAAAATGTAGGTCTGTGTCTCGCGTAGAAATGACCATTCAAAAGTAGGTACGTGGCCTAGACCTTCAATTGGATCCTTCAAATTTGCTTGTGCAAAATTGGATTCTTCATTTCGTTTCTTTTTTTGAATCAACTCCTCTAACTCTACCCTATTCTCAATCAAGTCCTTAAAATAACTCTTAGTATGTTAGACGTGGTATGCTATGTTCACATTTATTTATTATCAAAAAAGGTTAAAGTCGATAATGTTAAAATCAAAAGCAACTGATTTATTCTATAGAAAAAGCAAAGTAAAATGTAGAACACAAGGGGGAGAGAGCGAGAGAGACGCGAGCAGGGGTGGACTTGGTGGCAGCAATCACTACCAGCGATGATTGGTAATGGTTGAAAAATGTGAAGAACTTATCACAAGTGGATCGAGCTCCCAATTCTTATTGGAGTCCACTCACCAACATCTATTTTATTATTTCATACGGTTTTGATAGCTTATTTATATTTATTTCTCACCAATGGGTTAAATTTACCAATTTTTTTACACCAACTTATCAATTCTTTTTTAAATTACCGACTATTCCAACAATTACCATCATTTAGTGAAGGAACTTAAGTGACAAACTATCATATGTAATGTTGCAACCCTCCTGAGGTTGACATAGCTGAGGGATGTTTACCGGTTGCTAAGCGAGCGCTAATGGCTCCTCTTCCAAGGTGGCGCTTACGCCTAGCATGGACACTCCCAAGTCCTACCAGTTGCGACTTGGTTTTCCAATTCAATCACTTAGTTTAATTTGCTTTGGAGCTGGCACTGATCAATTATGGGCCAGTTAGAAGCCCGAGTAAGACGTAGGAGCTCGCTTTACTCTTGTAAACCGGAGATTTGTAAGTTTGGAGACTTGATTATACCAGATAAATCTAACATTTGTTGCCAATACCTTCTCTCTTTTGTGAAATTTTTTTGCTGGCAATCTTCTCAATTTTATTTTCCCAGTATCCTCTAATCATGTAACAAAAAAAAAGGTGATCATGAATTGGGGTTCAAGCAATATATATTAAATCAAGTGATAATAAAGATAAACCAAATAAAGTACTAGGAAAATAAAGAACCCGAGCAGTATAGGGCAAACTTAACAAAGCCTCGTTATTAAGCCCGAGGACAGGACTGTCGTGAGCTATAAACCAAAAGTAAAAGTGCACTAGATTAAAATAAACATGAGATGCCCAGTCTAAGTGCCGAACATGCCTGAGCCATCATGCGTGAATCAAATATCGCGAACTATCTAACACTGGGATGCAGAAGTTGCCGACATGTGATTAAGATGCAATTAATCTCTCTCTTTTTTTGTCGTTTCGTTTATCTAACTTTATAAACACTATTTAAAACCCTAAAATTTCCCTACATATCGAGAATAGCGCTATATGGTCAAAATCGCCCTATTAATTTAGACGAACATGAATTAATCAAAACTCACGTAATCTAAGATGCAAAGTCGCCTAGCATGCCAAGACCAAAGGAAAAAAGGTCACCTAGCATGCTTCTAAGATGTCCTTATTTTTTAATCTTTCCAGTTGCAACTACCTAGGTGATCATGAATAGCCTATATGCCACATGACAATCAAAGATGCAATTTTTATGATTTTTCTCACTAATGTACATGAACTAGCAAGCTGTATCCTATATGCATGAATTTGACCCATAATACTTCAATCCGCTCACTTTGACCCATAAAACTTCAGTCCTTGATTTCCAATCGGAGCTCATTTTGGATTTCGCTCAGGAAATTTTTTTTCTAGAGACTTCTATCTCGTTTCTGGCTCATTGCCGCGCCCAAGGCGATGTAGCCATCGCCGGACTGCCACCTCCGAGAAGGTCCTGTTCTACTCTGTTTCGCGGCCGTGAAGATTGAAGTGGCCAAACCTCGCTTGAAGCTCTTCCACCGGTCTTCCTTTCAGCTGATGACGATCATGAGACAGCCCCCAATAGTTGATTGGACTGCCTACTGCGACTTAGCTTGGTTTCATTTACAAGGTAATCTCGTGCTATGGTTCTGGCAGCGGTGAAGTGAATGTAAAGCTCCTTTTGCTTCGGTTAGGATCGGTCATATTAGAGTCGTGTATTTGATTATCAACTTCACATGTTAATTTCGTTCGCGTATGGTCACAAACACGAGTTTGAAATCGCAAAAAACCTGCTCCTTAATCGATCGACTGCAACCTGTTTGACAAAATGTCTATGAGGTTTCAATGCGAATTAGTTTCTGTCATTTTCTGAATCCGAAAGTACGTTGACATTGATTAAGTGATTAATCAATTTTCTAGTCATTTAAGCATGAGTTCTCGTGTTTTCAAAATGGCCGAGAACATTTCTGAATCATTATACTTCTTTGTTCTTTGTGCTATGTCCCGGTGATTTTCCATGGCGGTCTGCGATGAGCATGTGATCTGGAGTTATGGTTCTCGACCTTCGTTTCTGGCGATATTCATGACCAGGCTTGGGTGGTTTCCATAATCGAATTTGGGTCTGTGACAGTCTCAAATCTTGATTGAATTTGGGCTTAGTTTTAGTTTGGGCTTAACTTAGGTTAGATGGGTTTGGGCTGAATCTGATTTTTAGAAAGATAGGCTCATTTTTCTAATTGAAAAGATGGCTCAATAGGAGAGCCCAATTGTGCCCATATTAGCCCAGATCCGTGAGACCATCGTGCTGCCCATATTCCTGCCCGGCCTCAGGGGTCCGGTCCGAGTCCCCATTTTCTGAAAATCAAAAATATATAAAAATACAAAAAATTCGGAAAAATTCAAAAACTGATCGTGCAGACTTTAACAGGGTGCATGATGAAAATTGAAAATAGAATACAAAAATAAATTAATTCAAAAATCAAAAATTCGAAAAAGAATTGAAAAATGGTTAGAAACGGAGACCTTGATTAAGCTGTTAAATTTAAGTGCTAGATTTAGCTTAATTTAGATTTAAATATTTTAGTCTCATGGAAAAATTGGATTCGATTTGAATTTAGCTCACAAGGGTTGCTGTCTTGGGGCTTAATAACAAGGCCGTGTTATATTTTTGATCGACTCATATTAGTTTACTTTATTTATTGCATTCAATCTTTTACTCGTTCTTTTATTGCTGTTCTTGTCGAATTTATTGCGATTCTTTTTGTTGCTTTTGTGTGGGGACTTGTTTGTTCTAGTTAAATGGTAGGTTACATCTTAGAATCATAATAAAAATAAAAAACATTTTATGGACACTTAGTGGACGAGAACTTTAGGTACATTTTAGTTGACAAACAATCAAGTTTAGGTACCAAAAGGGCATTAATGAGATGACTAGTGTAATCAAGTCCCCGTTTTTATATATCTGGTTGCATAGGAAGTGAGATATATTCTTGTATCTCATTTGGCTTCTAGCTAAGCCTAATAGACTAGTAGCGTCGAATTCTCATAGGATTACTCGACTAAAATGAAATTTTCAATGTCATGCAAGGTAAAAGTTTGGGAGACCGCATCGATTGAGGACCCTCGACATTACCTCTAAACCCATTCTTCTCCCGTCGGGAGGATCCCGATAAGTGCATGCCATACATAAGTTTTGGTATTCAAGTGATCGCAATAAAAGTTATTGCACTCAAGTAAGCACCATAACAAAATTATGACACTTGTGATGTCCTCTTCGTATTGGCTTTTTGGTAGATAAAATAATTAGTTCATTAATAACTTACAAACAATTACATGCCCACTTGTAAAATCTAAAAATAAGTTGTGATCTACTATTGGGTTTGTCGATATTATGGTAGAAACTGTTAGTTCATAGGTATCTTACAAACACTTAAGTGCCTACTTTAAAATCTAAAAACAAATGATAATCTACTATGGGGTTTTGCGGATGGTAAAATTGTTATTTCAAACCTCCAGATCCTTACGCGTACACTTATAAAAACTAAACTAAGCAGCAATTTACTACGGGGCTTGTGGATGGTAAAATTACTATTTAATGTGTAACTTACAAACGCTTATGCACTCACTTGTAAAATCTAAAAACAAGTGGTCATCTACTATTGTGTTTAGTTAATGGAAAATTTGTTCATTCATTAACAACCTAGAAATACTCACTCGCCTACTTGTAAAAACTAAAATAAACAGTAAGTTATTATTGGGTTCGTAGATGGTAAAATTTTTACTTCATTGGTAACTTACAAACATTTATGCTGCCACTTGGAAAATCGAATGATTAGGTTTTGTGAGTAATGAAGTTGTTATTTTCTTGATAACTTTCAAGCAATTACGCGCCCACTTGTAAAATAAATAAAAAAATTAAGCGGTGATCTATTACTAGTCTTGTGGGTGGTAAAGTTGTTATTTCATTACTATCTTACAAACACTTACGCGCCCACTTGTAACATTTAAAATAAGTGGTAATCTATTATTCAATTTATCGATGGTAAAATTATTAATTCATTGATAATTTACAAAAAATTGATCGAATTCATAAATTACTGGTCACTTTTTTGTTTTCACTGATGTTGACACCTAAATTTCGGCGCATCATTTAGTGGTTAATTGCATAGAAAATTAGGGATTAAATTTTAACCCCTAAACAAAAATATTAAAATTGCACAGCATATAGTTTAGGTTCATATAGATTAATTGCATTCCGCATCGGATTGGCGGTGGCAAGCGAGCTTAGAATTCGTCATGTAAATTGAGCTCGGACATCGAACGAGACTCGGCTCACTCGGAAAGCATGGGCCGAAAATTACAAGTCAGAAGGGCTTGGTTGTCTTAATTTGAGCTTAAATTAGCCCATTATGCTTAATTAAATAAAAGCCCACATTAATTCAGCCCACTTGAGATTAAATGATAATTAAAG